AAATCATGTGTCGGGTAATTCTCCTCGTGAGTCTTCAACTGTCTCGATGCGTAGGCCACTACCTTACTCAACTGCATCAGTACACAACCTAAGCCGCTATGAGATGCGTCACTATAGATGGTATACTCGATGCCAGGAGTAGGTTGAATCAAGACTGGTGCCTGGGTCAGGCACTCCTTCAGTTGATCAAAACTGCGCTCGCACGCTTCTGTCCACTCAAATTTGATGTCCTTACGCAGTAGCTTGTTCAATGGAGTAGCGATCGAGGCGAAGCCCTTAACAAATCGGCGATAGTAACCGGCTAACCCAAGGAAGCTCCTTACCTCACGAACATTCCGTGGAGTCTTCCAAACCACTATGGCTGAAATCTTGCTGGGGTCTACCTGGATACCGGTAGCAGAGATAACATGTCCTAAGAATGTCACCTCACTCAACCAGAATTCACACTTAGACAATTTTGCATACGGCTTGTGCTCTCTCAACACACTCAGAACCAATTGCAAATGTCTAGCATGCTCCTCCTGAGTCCGTGAATAAACCAAGATGTCATCGATGAACACTACTACGAACTGGTCCAAGTATGGTCGGAACACACTGTTAATAAGTTCCATGAACACTGCCGGGGCATTAGTCAATCCGAAAGGCATGACTGAGAACTCATAATGCCCATAGCGTGTTCTAAAAGCAGTCTTCGGAATGTCTTCTCTCTTAACGGAAATCTGATGGTATCCAGAACGCAGATCGATCTTTGAGAATACTGTAGCTCCTCTGAGCTGGTCGAACAGGTCGTCGATGCGAGGCAATGGATAACGATTCTTCACTGTGGCTTTGTTCAACTGTCTGTAGTCGATGCAAAGTCTCATGGATCCATCTTTCTTTCGAACAAATAACACCGGTGCTCCCCATAGGGAAACGCTAGGTCGGATGAATCCCTTTTCCAGTAGCTCTTGCAACTGAGCCTTCAACTCCTTCATCTCAGCAGGTTCTATACGATACGGTGTAGCAGATATGGGTTCCGTACCGGGAATGAGATTGATCGAGAACTCTACCTCTCTCGGCGGAGGCAAACCAGGTAGGTCTTCGGGAAAGACATCGGGGAAGTCGCAAACCGTACGAATGTCCTGCTGACGTGGCGATTCTTTTCGCATATCCTAAACGTGACACAGGAACATCTCGCACTTCTTGCAAATCAAGCGCCTCGCGCTCAAGGACGATATGAACTCGGGAGCCTTGGGGAATACCTCCCCGGAGAGTAATACGTCGCTACCGTCCTCGGCTCTCAGCCGTACGGTCCGACAACTGCAGTCGACCACTGCTCTATGCTCGGTGAGCCAATCCATACCAAGGATAATGTCAAACTCCTTGTGTGGTAGCTCTATCAAATCCGCAGGGAGATGCTTCCCTTGCACGGACAACGGACATCTATGATAAATGTGATGAAGACGCATGCTATGTCCTAGCGGATTCGATACAACGGTAGGTATCTCAAGGTCACTCCTCACAATCGCAGAATTAGCAGGCATGCCAACACAGATATAGGAGAGCGTAGAACCCAGATCAATCAAGGCATGCATAACCGAATCAAATAGTATGAACGTACCCAAGATAACATCGGGACTAGGATCTGTGCGCCCATGCATGGCGTAGGTACGCGCTGGTGCCCGGCCTGACTGCTGCGGACGTGGTCTCTGCTGATTATTTGCGGTCGTAGACTGCTGACTCCGTGCTGGATGTGATGCGGCAGGCTCATCCAGAGCTCTAGGTAAAATAGGCTCGCTGCTAGGGTTTGTCGGGCAATGCCTCCTGAAATGCCCTGGCTGACCACAACCCAAACATAAGCCTTGGGCGAGCCAACACTCGCCCGGGTGATGCCTACCACAATGTACACATTGCGGGTGGCTCCTCGTTCTGTTCGAGTTGCTAGCGGTGGCCGACGGAGACGGCCTCGACTTACTCCTCTTAGGCGGTGGCGCACTCGAAGAACCCTTCTCGTACCTCTTTCCCCCGAATCCAAAATTCTTCCCGCTCGGCCCGGTGCTGGCCGCGGGTCGCGGGTCTTTCGTCGCTCGATCCTCTTTCTTGGTTGCCTGCAAATCGTCCAAGCTCTTTTCCGTCTTCACAATCAAATCGTACGCCGCATTAAAATTTGTCGTCGTGATCAGTGCGGCGTACGGCCTCAAGTCCGGCCGTAGCTTCTTGACAAACTCATTCAAACGATCCTCCGGAGTGGAGACCAGACTCATCGCGTACTGGGACAAGTAGTCGAACCTCTGTCTCAGTTCAGGCAGTGACATCCCCTCCTGCTTAAGCGCAACGAACTCATCGCGCCTCTCTTCGCGGTACCGGGTGGGGACGTACTCCTTCGTGAAGGCTCGATCGAAGCGATCCCAGGTCCACGGCTTGGGCGTGTGTGGATCCTGGTCAATGCGCTTCCACCAATCATATGCTCCCTTCCGAAACATCTGTGACGCCAACTCCGAGCGATCAGCATCTGGGACTCTCAAATTCTTGAGTACCCGGTCCATCTGCTCAAGCCAATCCAAAGCAATCTGGGG